CATATCCTAAAGTGCTTCGTTCAATAAAAATAATAAGTTGAAGGTTAAATTGTGTCCATACATATTAGATATGTATTTAAATATTTGTTAAATTGTGAGATGGCGGTGATTTTCTTGATCACTAAATGGTTGATATTGTTGATGCAGTAACCTGCTGTTAAATTATAAACTAAAATACTTGAATTTAATTTAATTTTTTTTTGCAGACTTGGAACTCAGTGATAAAAAGTTTCTAACTGATTCAGACGACGATTTTGAACTATTGTGATATATATGAATTAAAAGGATTCTTAATAATTCTCAACATTCGTATTTATATATGGCATACATACATTTATGCAAACAACAAAAAATGATATTATTCACTTCTGAAGAGATAATGTTTAGTACTATTCATGGTTGGTGTCACATTGAATATGTTTTCATTGCCTTTCCAATTAAATGTTCTTTTATTATTATTATCATTATCATAATATTTTTAATTTATTATTAGTTTCAGTTATGTTTTATGTTATTAAATATATTTTTATTGTTACAACATATGATGTATGATTTATCAATTATCAAACTCGTTGAAACACTGGCGATGTGCAAATTTTTATTTTACGATTTCTAAACGATCGATCATCATTGATTTTGTTGTTTAATTTTCATATGATTTATGTAGGAAACTACTACAGCATTAAAGCTCTTAATGTTAAACTAGTCTGTTATGTTTAGTTTATCATATTTATGTATACTTAACTACCCAAAAGAAAATGAAACAAATTGTTTCCTATACACATTAAGAATGTTAAACTTATTTTTTTGTCCCAAATAATATTATTTTATTCTATGTATGTTATATGTTTGGTTAGTATACGATCAATCATTATTTAACTTGGCTGCTGTATAGCAATAAAATATCTGCAATAAAATGTGTTACTAACAATTGTTGAATTGTGTAATACAAATAAATAATTTAACTTGTAATTATATGAAAAGAAACCAAATTAAAATAAATATATTTTATTTATTCTTTGTATGTACTTTCATTTATCATTACCTAGATATATAATATTCTGTATTCTGGAATTTATGTATAAATAATAATAATTTAGGCTCAACAGTTATATTGGAGATCAACAGTATTTTATATTGGAATTTTTGATGAAATATTAAATCAAGTAGATACATAATTCTACAACTAGGTATTGATTATTAGGTTAAGATTAGAAAGTAGTTTGTTCAAAAATCTTTTTTATTATTCTGATTTTAATAACTAATTGTAGCTTTGCTCATTGTTACAATTTTTTTTTTGTTAGAATAGAACTTTTCGCATATTTCTTGTAGATTTTTATTTAAGATGTACAAAACTAGTGTTGGGGTAGTGACAAGAAAGTAATGGAATTACTTCGGTTATAACACATTACATATCTACTTTGGGTGGTTCCCACATAATGAAAATAATAAAATACAAATGTCTTGATAATTGATTCCTACAATATAACGCATTACTGTTTCAACTTTCAAATAAAATATGTATTTATGAATAATTTTAATTCATCACAATTCATTTTTTAATCGTTAAAACATGTGTCTAATTGCACCTTAAATTACAAAAAAAATTAGTTAAACAAAATATTTTAAATAACCTTTTCTTTTACCTGAGAATGTTTTCTATGAATAAGTCAGATGGACTTGTGTTATTATGTATTTTTAATTTTTTACATATTAACACAAATATATTTTAATTTTTAATAGTTTTAATAATTGTTGTATGCTATATGTTAATTATTGTTAGGTAGCAAACTTTTATTTTTAAATGGTTTTTTAAATTACACCTACACCCATATCTACACAGTAATTATACTTGAATTGCTTATCAAATGACCATTTTTATCATTTATAAGTTTATAACTAATAAAAAATTAAATGATTAATAGTCACATAGTTACTATTCTGATTAAAAAGTGAAGTTATATCATAACAATTTTGTTTGAATAATGAGTAAAATTATTTCATTACTTTTATCTATGTAATGAATAGGTAATTTAATAACTTTTTAAATGAACTTATTCAACACTGCATGTAACACATAATTGAGATTTAAAAATATACTTGCTTTTGCAAGAATTACTCACCAGCCTATTGTATAATAAATTAATAACATATAACAATTAACTGGTGATAACTTACCATTATAAACTGTATTTATTATTTGGTTTACAGTTAATTGATACTCTAAAAGCAGAAAGCGCCTATGTATTAACATCAGCTCTGTAGTCAACCATTCTAATAATACAACACATCTAAATTTTAATATACCCCACTTAATATTAATAATTAAAAATATATTCTTTTTATGTTTACTGGTATTTCTTTAAACGTTTTACAATTACTGTAAAATTATTGTTTAACATCCAAGCATTATTTGATTAATTTCGTTTTACGTTAATATACAATAAATTATTATTAATTATTGTATTTATAAACATTATTTTATTTTTTTGTTTTAATAAATTCTGAGAAGTGATAAAAATAATTGTAACTATTTATAACTAATGTTTTACAGATATTACTTTTAAGTTTTAATTTCCAACACTCACTAATAATAATTTATAGGTATCTGTTTTATAAATTCTGTTGAACAGGATTTATTGAAGAAAAAAAAATTGCATTGCTTTCAGTGCTTACACGAGATATAATAATAGGATATAGCATATAGAAGTTATATAAATAGACTTATTTAAATAATGAATAATACCGATTTATAAGCTATTATTTTAGAATCTCATCATTAAAATGTTTTCCAAATTATGAAACGAAAATAACGACAAAATCTGCCGACTTTAAATACATCATGACGAAAAATGACAATAGGTATAAAAATAATAATAATGCCAAATTTGACGTAAAAAAACCACAAACTTATTAAGGAACGTTATTTGAAATTATTTTTTTACATTACGTATTGGGACGCTAATTGTTTATTGTTTATTATTTGTAATTTTTTTTTAATTCTTAAAATTTTTTTTAACTGTACAATCTGTAAATTAGTGTTTTTTACAGTAAGCATGTGTGATGTTGTAGATTTATAAGAAACTTAAGAAAAAATAAAATACATTGAATGTACATTTTAGACAGGGTGTTTGTGTGAAGTGGCCATGATCAATGATATACTATGTTTGTTGGCATTCAATTTTTCTCATTTATTGATAACATTTATTTTTTTTAAATCTATTGAAATTATTTTAATTTTTTTTAAATTCACTTTAAAAATATTATCTTAAATTTAATTTGGTAATGAAGGTGTATTTTAGACAAATATATGGATAACATGATTGAGGTATAGGGTGTTTTGGTCCATGAAAAATCATAACCTTAATCTGTGGTCCACTGGCCTTGCCCAGTGCGCACGCCTTTAAGTATATTAGTACCTACAGAACTAACTTCACCAGATAACTGTGTCTAGAACTTACACTTCAAATTGCTTGATTTTCATGAATTTCAGTATCTAATTTAAATACAAACTTGAAACTTATGTCTATAAATTCACCTTAGGGTTGTCAATCTAAATTATAACAAATGTGCAGGTTAAATAAGTTTCTAACCTGGGATTTATTATTTTAGTTGAATCAATTATTTTAGTAAAAAAGAAAATGCTCCTAGGTAGGTAAAAAAGTGTATTGAAAGTGTATTGAACATAGAACTTATGGAAGATATATGAAATAGTTTAATAGTTTATTTTATAGTACTGGTTCTTTAATAATAAATAATTTTATCAAACGGCTTACATTAAATTTTATTCCATATTAAATTAATAAAACAGTTGAACATTGTTATGTATTTCATGAGAGTAGTAAGTAAAATAAAGCAAACATTTGTACTCAACAATTCTTTTGATCATCCTCAACGCCTAAAAATAATACCCAATAATTGAGTAAAACAATATTATGTTTATCAATTGAAGTACTATTTACTAAACATATAATACTACTCACCTTTCATTTTTGTAGTGGATGGTAAATTCATTGATAATTATTATGTATAGGTATCCCCATATTATCCGTGTACGGTATAGGTACCTACAATTTATGTATTTTTGCTTACCACAGACGACGGCGGCCTAATCGGCTAGTCCGCACGGTGAATTTTGGAATTTTGCTGATATGTTTCTACTTTCTGGTACTGAATTTCCCCGTTTTATTTCAATACATCTTTAACAAATTGACTCATATTATAGGTATCATGTTTTTCAGGAATGTACCTACAGTAAACACGGGACAAAAGCTAAATATGGTGGCTAGAAAACAACTTGTACCTAAGCAAAATTCAAGCATGCACAATCCACAAAATACAAGTTTAATTGAATGTAGATACTATTAAAACATCATCTAATATAAATTTCGAATTAAATGATCACTTGATAAGTACTAAGTATTGTAATTTCATTCCGTCATTCATTTAAATTATAGAACATTTATTCAAAAAAAAAAATGGTAGGTATATTGCTTTTATTCATAACTTTTATAGTATTTAAAAGTATTTTGTATTTACAGTTTTGCGAATAATGTGCTCAAGGTTAAAAATTATAAAAATTGCAATTTGTATTAAGGAACTTATGAACAAATAGGAGCCAGGTAGGTACATACAATTTCAAATGTACCGTTCACTTGCGCAACGCCTTATTGATGACTTGTCTTGCAAGTGCCAGGGTAGGTCGTAGGTACACCTAAATTTGTTTTACACTTCAGTTACACACACCAATGATCACTTACTACCCACGCATTAATATACTTACACTTATGCACACAATTTGAAAATTGTCTATTTTTAACTACTTAAAACGGCCCATTTGCATTCACCTTAATATTTTGTGTTTGCCTTAAAATTAAACATTTCTTTCGTGAAGTATATACCTATTTATTTTATTATAATTATAGAACGTTTATTTTTTTATTATAAAATTACACTTTTTTGTTTATTATTACACAATACTAAATAATATATAAGCACTGCATCCGTTGCACAGATATAACACGGACATGACGTTTTCCACACTGTCATGGGTTTATTGGTATTATTATATTCATTTATAATATGTCCTAGAGCTGGTCGGTTGTTGACTTTTTGTTAACACCCACTGCCTTTTTCTTCAGAATGCTTTTCGGTTTCTCCATCACGGCTGTGTTCCTAAACACCCTGTACGCCTTCGGAAGCTCATCTTCTTTGTACAACTGGTCACTGAAGTATATTCTCCTTAGCCGGCAGTTGGCGTGTACTTTGACGCAAACCGTCTCCACATAGGTCGTCTTAAAACTGGTGATTATGAACTCGGCCAAGTTCATGTGCAGTAGGTTCCAACCTATGTTCATACTTACCGGCATCGTGACCATGAACGTGCTCAACTTTTTAGTCTTATGGTAACTGCTCATTCGTAATCGCCGGCGAATGTTTTCGCTGTCCAAAATCTGTTACATACATTTAAGGGTGAAGAGGAAGTGTAAGACAATACAGAGAATAAAGTAAATTTTCATCAGTCAAAATATCACCTTTTTTTGTTAGTCATAGAATTGTATGATTTAAAATCAACAATTTTCGAACAAATTTTTGATTATTAATATTTTTCTATATTCAAGCATATATGCGTTCAATTAAAAAAAAATTTATTTTGCTGTTTTGATACTATTTTAAACCTTATAAGTAGGTATATGTAGATAGTCAGATATAATAATTATTGATTTGTACCTATATACAGCTATAATAATAGTAATTTATTTTCATTTCAAAGAACACAAGCACATGCGCGACAGAAACTATTAACCAGGGCTAGGAATCTAGGATTTTTGTGCATTTGCATGATTTTTTATTTAGTTCAAATTGATTGGTTATCGAATATTATGTGGGTTGATTTTATGAATTAATTATTTATTTTATGAACGTTTTTACTAATTGTGTAATTTGATGATTTTTTGTAAATTTACCATATAATCTTATCTTAGTTAACTATACACTATTTTTTTCTCATTAGTAAGACTTGTGTTGCCGTGTAGGTAGGTACATTTACGGTTAATAATTTGAGGGTTTTCGTTAACAGTAACATTTTTTTTTATAAAATGCTGAAAGTTGAAAGTGAGAGTCTCAGTGAAGTTTTTAAAACACATGGTAAAATATTATGTTATATTATTCATGATCGAGCTGTACCAGTAACAAAATGTTTTCAGATGCTCCAATACTGAAATACAAAAAATACTAACATACAATTTTAATAATTCAGAATTTTACTAGTTACTACGAGGCCTCTTAAACGATGAAGCCCGCAGAAAACCCCGCCTTTACTCACATTATGGAGTTCGACCTCTGAGAATCAAATACAATATGAAAAAAAGTACACTATTTCTTGATGAGAGCTCAACAAACATTTTAGATATGAAGTATGAACCATTGTATAATTGTAACGGAATAGTTAGCAAAATTGGTAAAAACTGAAATAGACTTGGTACTAAAGAAAATAAGGGATTCAGAATACTTTTAAAAATGTGTAGCCTTATAAATGATGAATACGAAATGAAAAAAAAAAGAAAAATATTAGTATCACTTTAACTCCGTGACAAATCGCATCATTTAAATATGCTCCACCAATATCGTGTGATGTGGAAAGAAGTTTTGGTCAACATTTATTGTTATTTAATTTAATTTAAATTAATATCGAAAGATTACTGGGCCTTACGGAGAAAAATTCGTGTGGAGGTTATAAATATAACTCCATAATATAAATCTATAATATAAATCCATTCTTCGTTCCAATCGCCAGTTGTTTGTATTTTATCATTTGAAAGAACATATCATTACAGCATGTAATATTCAATGTAATAATAAATAATGACTAATATTAGAAGTTTCTATTTTGATTAATTTCTGAATTTTATGTAAAAATATTTAATTTGATGTATGTAGAAATAAAAAAAATTTAATTTTGCATATTTTGGTAAATGGAATGAATTTTTCATAATTTTTTATTCTATAATAAATCCTAGTCCTAGTAATAACTATAGAATATGTAAGTACCGTGATCTCGAACGTAAACAATTGACCGAGGTTTTTGACTATCAACGTCAAGAACGGCAGCTGAACGCCCATCGAATCTTTGGGATCCACCGGACTAGTAATAAAACAGGCATTTACGTTTTTTGACTGGATCTGGAGCACGCTGGACTTTATTTCGTCGTCTTGGACTTGTTTCACTTCTCCCCCTTTGCACTGATATACCAGGAGCATCGACCATGTACAATATGCGACAACGGTGATCAGGTTATGTTATTAATAAGCATTTTACTTATTTGATTTACATCACTTTTAAAAAAAAAATATGGAAACATATTTCGGTGTTCGCCGTTATAAATTAAAAATAATTATGGAATAAATATAAAGTCGATGTTGACCTGTTAATAATATGGAACTTAAATCTATAGCATACGATTAGGATAGCATATGTACCTACCTACATACCTAATATAGTACTTAAGGTGTGAAAATGGTTACAATTCACATATGCACACAAGCTTAATATATTTCGATTGATTTTGGATTCTCCTCATGTCTTACCCGGATTATTAGATAAATGTAGTAATAGACAATAGTTTACTCAAAATTTCAATTAAATTATAAATTATACTGTTTGGTTGATAATTTCAAATTTTCAATAACTAATAGATCGGATAGGTGGTAAATTCATTTTATTCTGGATTACAGATTTGCTTCACGGAAACACGTGACGTGTAAATATGTTGAAAAAAAAAATTTTACTATAGTCAATGATTATCATTTATAATATAAAATTGTGTGCAGTTTTAACTGACTGATTTATAGACGCACCTGAATGGACCAATTATCCATAGGACCGCTGCCAACGCTAAAGAACGCGGTGAATAATGATACTTGGAATTTAGATTGAAGCATTATTCCAGCATAGGTACAATTACAGATTCTGAAGTGATTGTTGAATCTCAAATCTCAATTCTGGAACACTTGAACGGAGACTGATATCTATAAACATAAATAAAAGATAAAATACCTTGTTATTTCGCTCGTTGCTATAATACGCACGTAGAAATTTAATTAGTAAACAATAGAAAATATTTTTGTACGCACTATATTATATTTTGTTAGGGTATTTTTTCTTCGTTAATACGATTCACGTATGACAAGTTTTAAAATAACTCAACAACCCAACAATTCACAAATACTGTTGTGTGAATTTTTTCGGTGCATCACATAGATCTAGATTGTTGAACCAGAAGATAACGATTTTAAATAATACATTAATATAAATACCGGTTATTGAAACAAATTACAAAATTATATTTTTGTACAATAAATCTCATTTCTCGCTTATGATGTACGTCAGTGCGGATACATAGAATTATAAAAAAAAATACATAGTTAAAATTTATATTTTTTCTGCATAAAATAAATTTAAGTAAGGTCCACACTAGGAAGAATATTGTTACCGAACATTTTTGCTAACCATGCTTCGAAATGTTCGACTTCAGTGTTCGTTCAACTTACACAAAAGATTTCCCGCCCTATAAATTGACAGCTTTATTTTTGAATTAAATATTAAATATCATTGTAGTTACTTATACGAAAAACGATTCTGCAGAGCGAAGACCGTTTGTCAGCATATAATATCACTTAGTAATTTAGTATATTTCAATATTTGATAAAAAAAAATACATTTTAAAAGTAATTGTATGTATAAAATATAATAATATACACTAAAAGTTTCAAGTACCCACGAATAGTATTTTTAAAATACAACATAGTAGCTTAAATCATTATTCTTGGTTATTTAAGAATATGTAATTTCGTCCAAATTTGAACATAAAATAACTATAAAAAAATGTGTTTTTTTATACTTTTTGGTTACAGAATTAACTACTCGTGTGCAAACTTTGTTTTAGATTGTTGATCCTTATATTCCTTAGCTATAAAAGTTGAAAGTTGTATGAATGTTTAACTACAAAATAGCTTGTACATTTTCAATTTGATACATTTTGTCAACATTTGAACTTGAATGCTTATAAAATAAAATCGTACCTATGTATTTTTAATATTTTTCAATTGATATTGTAACGGTATGTCAGGAGCCTTTGCGTTTTGATCCAAGAAATACAATTTTATTGATAGTTATTGGAAAACAAACCAAAACAATTTAAAATTTAAAATGACCAGTTCAAAGCAAGTTAAAATATTTTGAAAATTGTATCAAATGGGTATATAAAATAATAAAATAAACATTTAGTGTAAATTTCAAGTATCTACAGTTATTTATTTTTGAATTACAACAAAATAAGAAAATTGCCACATGAAAAATCAAGTGAATATCCAGTGTTGTAAAAATTTCAACTTCGACCTCTCATAAAAGTTTTATTTGACTTTCCGGTAGACATTTTTTTTCATAAAGGTAGACAAACTTATAAGAAATCTTGTACTAAATTTTTAAATCTTAGATATAAATAGAAATTTTTTTATGAATTTTCAACTAAATATAATTTGCTAATATAATATTAGTATTTGCTATTGCTTATATCATGGAAGAGTGAGAATATGAGATATTGAAGTTTTAATATTCCAAAATCTAAACTTGCCTTGATAAGAAAAAGCGTGCCTCCATGTAATCAGAAATAATGTTCAGATTCCGATCATAACGGAATAAGTATAATGAGTACCATTGAACCGTAGAGTAATATTACTCTATGCATTGAACTAGATAATAAGTTGATAACTATTATATTAACACATTATACTGTTATACAGTCCAGTGCAATATACCTACTATGGATAGCCTAAATGGAACGGGCCACAAATTCGTATTATTTCACATATTATGAGTTGTGTTAGTAGTATAATATCTTTAACCGCGCTTTGAATGGAGCCATGCTCATTTCGTCTGCCTAAACAATTCGACGCACATTACGATAATATTACGATTCACTGCTGTAATAGTGTAAGTAGTAACTAGTAACTAGTAGATGCTTGATGCGCACTTGCGGTAGCGTTTCGTCGGTGGTCGCCGATTTATTTATGTATATATCACTTAAAATAGATAAATAATATGCGACATAGCATCGAGAGGATAAGAATACATGAAAATATAATTATTATACATGGTATTCTACATAGACAATAGATCTCATACTAATTAGTAGTATTTTTATATAATAATTAGAGCACGTCCTTTATAGTTCCTTAGTATAATATATTATGTAAGTATAATTCTTGTTAGTTGTTTGGTTTCACACCATTAAAATAAAAAGCAAAAAAGTCTCCAAACAACCGAATTTTTTCATAGACAAATACAGTAAGACGTTTGGACGTTTCGAGTGTTCTGACTTACGAACTCCGGGACGTCTACCGCTGTGTGATAAGAGTACCAACTACACCACGGCTATAGATACTATCTATCTCATATCTATAGCCGTGAACTACACACAACAAACGTTATCAGATCGCAATTGTACCGGTTACGCGGTTCAACGATACCTCCGTCCGGGTCCAAGCGCAATCGCACTGCCGAATCTAGCGTACTTACAACAAAAAAGAATAATACTAAATACGCTATCTCCGAGCTGCCACTGCCCAGATTATCGATTGTACCTGACGAGAGTACGCCGAGACTCCGACAGGCGGTCTCATCTCGTTCATCCGTATCGATCGCTGTACGCCTGTACTGCACTACTACTGCTGCAGTATCCAGGCACATTATTATCGTCCGTGACTGCTGTTGCTCTTAGTATGTGAACATTTTATTTTATTGTTCTTCTCCACTCTCCGGTCGTCAACTGGATTTTGGTCAGTCAGTGACATCGAATCAATCGCGACGCTTCGAGCTTAAAGTATTCTCAAGTCACATACCGACGTACAAAATAACATTACTTATAATATGTAAGTCTAAGAACCGCCCGCTTCTTTCTCTGTTGGATCGTCGCCCAATAAGCCTAGTATGCCTCACTCTAATTCATGGTTGGTACGTGTCAAATGTCTCTCTTGTGTACCTAATTACATTGTTTTTTTAGCATACAAAATTTGATCGTTAAAGATATCATTTGTGGTTACTGTTGTATACCTATAAATTATAAGTCATTATAAATATTGAAAAAATGACGTTGAGTAATTTATCCCCTTCATCCACCCTGTTTAACCGCCACTGGGTGGTACTGTGCGTATGTAAGACAGGTGAGGGGGGGGGTACTTTCAAAACATATTGTTTATGCGACTGCAGGTCACATAATATGGGTTTTGATTAGAGCTGTGGGTTAATTGTAGAAGAGGAGGAAGATATTTGCTAAAATTCTGTTTGTGTCACATAGCAAGATTGTGGTTTTTAAATTGTAAAAAAATCAGAATAGTTCTATTTTTTTAATATAACATTAAAACCAAAGGTGCTAGCAGAAATATTGTAATTCAGAATTTATTAATATGTTTATATGATCTTGTTAAAACGGTTTTATATCCATGAATGACTTCATATTTGTACTGGTAAATAAGATTTTCAAATAAGAAATTGGAGTTTATTGATTCGTATCGGGTAAATATTGAGTGTTCAAGAAGTAACACATATAATATACAAGCGATGCGATACCATATCGGATGTGTGTAACAATACCAGTTGGTCATAACTATCCCCCTGTTGATGAGTATCAAATTTTTCTTTTTGAGAGTCTTGTATCTGTGTAAAGCTAGTATCCATCCATTTCAAACCATTTTATACCCACCATAAAAATGTACTATGTGTGGGCTACTTTTTGACTAATATACCTATTACCTATGAAATTTTTCTGACTTCAACATTAATCAAAATTGATATAAGTATTTCTTAATATTTATATTATACTGTGCCCTAAAATGTATCATATTACATAAAAAGTTCCTCAAAGTGCAGAATTAGGTTGCTTCTCAGTCCGTGAATAAAATTTCTACAAGCCCCATTTGTTTTTGTTCTCTAAAGTCTAAGTGATAACTTATCATTAAACATAGGAACACATAAATACAAACATACATATTAACATAAAAGAATACGTCTTACTATAATATTATGATAATAATGTAATGGAATACCGTACGCAATATTGAAGTGAATGCAATGAGTAAGGTAGCTAATAGGTATACAACAATTAATTTTCAAAATTGTTGTATTGTCTTCTGCAAATATTCTAGAATCATTCAAATTTTTAAAATACTATTGATTGTTACGGAAGCCTACATTATTCATTATATAATAATGTATTACCTACAAAATATGTTTAATATACATTTTTACTAATTTTTCTAATTTCTATTTTGCTTATTGTTAATTAATAATAATTACATTTTGTTTACAATATCATATTTTCAATTTTTTAGCAATCAAAACCTTTTATATATATTTATTGAGTTATATACCTCATACACAGCTTAAAAACACTTTGAGGGGCAAGAAAAAAAATTGAGTTATTCAGGACTAGGCTGTACAAGTATAACAAAATAAAAAGCAATGGTTTTCATTTTTCTAATTTTATACAGAGCCTTGCTTTACATTAAACATTTTTATTTTTTTCGTTTTATGCCTTTTTTATAACAATCAATGGCCATTAGTTGTAGATCATAATTTATTTTACCACTCTTCAAAAATTTAAACCTTTTAAAATTGAATTTTTTTTGTATACCTATTACTTATGCAAATAAAAAAGGTATGAATTTTTTTAAATGAAGTATTTTAAATTTTGAACTGTGCAATTATGTTATGTATATTATCATTATTTATTTCAATAGATAAATCTAATTTTTGAGTAAATAGGCATTAAAAAGTTATTAGGTAAATAATATATAAATGGAGTATGATAACATAAAATCATAAAAGTATGTTCTATAATTTCTTCAAATTGCTTTGTTAGATTTTAAGGTTTTTTTTAGTGTAAGACCTAGCCTTAATTAAAGAAGTCTTTAAATTGTTTTCATGTAGGTATTTATTTAAAATGTACAACTACTAAAAAATTTAAAAATTGTACGTACAGGATAGACTTCTACATAACTAAATGTGAATATATTATGACTATAAATTATCTAGAACTGTAAAATTATCAGTTTTGAAATTCCCTATAGATTTTACAGAACTATAATTATTAATTTACAATAAGTTGCTCTAAGGTCAGTAAAGAAAAGTTGGTCCATTTTAACCAAAGCCCACCCACCCACCTTATTTATTATTAAAAAACTGAAGAAAATATTTATAAGCTTATAAGTTATTACACTAAACTACACAAAGCCAACATAACTTTAACAACACATTTTTTTTTTAAACAATTTAACCTATTTTATTATTGTGATTTCTTAATAGTCATTGTTCAGTTGTTCACTAATACTTTAATTGCATGCTTACACACATTTATACAATATGTAAAATGGATTTTCCAAAATCCTCATTTGTTAAAGGTATGTATTTTGAAATTTTGACGGATATAGAAAAAAATTGCTTGCTGATAAATGGTTACAATTAGTTTCAGATTTTAATAGCGAAAGTCGAAATAAGTATTTTTTTTGTACATACATGATTTTCATCGGTTACCCTGGTAGATGAGGTAAAAACATGCAACAAATTGTTGCATTTAAATGGCCTCAATTACAGAAACTATATCTGAAAACCAAATGTATGTTTTTAGCTCATATACTCAAAAACTATTTGACTGATTTTTACCAAAATCTTAGAGATTGTTCTTGAAAAAATCAAAAAAGTGTAGAGAGTAGTTTAAACCATGTTAAAAATATACCAAGTACAATTCCATGACTAGTGGATGTCTGTATCAAATTACTTCACAAAGCAAGATGCTCATATACCCGTGCCAATTTGCTATTAAACTGATGTACACTAAAACCGAGATGCACCTAGCATTATCAAGTTATACACATAGCTCCTACAAGTTTAAATGTTAATACATACATATACAAACATTTTGAGATCTTTGATCCACAAAAAATCATTTGCATTAGGTTTTTTATGGCTGAAAATACTTCTGACAGACTATAATAATTTTGCCTTCTTATGGTGTTATTAAATTACAAGGGATTAAAAATTGAAATTTATGGATATTTTTCAACTGACATAAATAAGTAAAACTATGTAATATTAGTATCCAGTTTTTAATGGAAGCTGAAATGTCTATGTTTTCTATTAATTTTGTTCACAAACTTCATAAATATGAAAACTTTAAATTCATCAGATCAGAAAAAAATAAAAGTTGACTAGCTACCAACTAATAGTGCTCATTTTAAGATTGCCTTAATTTGGGAAATCAAAAAAATTATTATTATTTAGTTATAGTGATACATAATATAAGTAATAGTGATATATCATATATTATAATGAATAATGTATGTACACCATCACAATACAACTGAACAGAAATATCTTGTTCTATGTTGGTTGACTTATGGACAGAGACCAGTTCTTTAGTAGTTGTGCCAATAATAGAAAATGCTTGGACGTAAACTTTAAATATTTAATATCATTATAATTAAGTGTATAATATAATATAATATAATATTTAAGTCTAGAATACAAACCACATGAATGACTATTACAAAACATAACTATAACATTGATAATAAAATTACACTTAATTTGTAAACACTACACATAATACAGACAAATAACACAACTAGGACGAAGGAAATGGAAAAAAAAATGTGCAACATACTATAGTTAAGGAGTTCTTGACTGATTTTTTGTTTTTATTGGTACCTACTTATAATTTTGCATTTTATTGAATGGATATATTAATTTACTATATACTATGTGGTATGCAATCATTAAAAGGTGTACCTATGCACTAAGGATTTTTCAAAATTTGCATTTTAAAGAGATGTACACAGAGGGATTTTGAGATTCACAGTGGAAATCAAATTTTTTTTTGTTTTTAAATTGTTGTCATTTCTTGATTGGAGGAGGTAAAATAAAAAGTTAGCATCAAATCATCTTATATATGACCTCGAATAAAGAAATAACATCTTAAAACAAATATGAGAATTGAATGTATGTTTGTAGCTTATATACTCAAAAACTACTCAACTGATATTAATAAAAATTTGTTCTTATAAATAAAAGAAAAGTATAGACAGTAGTTCAGTAGTGTGAACCATGTTCGAAAATATATCAAGTGCTATACCAAAGGCAAATTGACCATTTTGGTCGAGTTAGATCATAAAGCGAGATAACCAACATTAATTTTCCCGTGAACTGAGATACACTAAATCTAAGATCTATACTAGAAATGTACATTTGAATAGTGTAACCATAAATAATTTGAATATTTGAATACCTATTCGAATAATTTGATTATCAGTATTCTATATTACAAAATCAATATTAAGCTATCTAAATAATAATAATAATATTATATTCAATGAAATTTAACGTACAAGTATTTAATAATTATTATTGAATAAATTATCGCGTAAAACTATTACTTATAAATGTATATTTATTTTTCAATTATTATTTATTATTTATTATTTATTATTTTTCTGTTATGCTTAATATTATATTATGTATTATTATTATATATTATTGTACAAAATATCAAAACTTTGTTTTTAAAACAATTATTGGAATATTATACCTATGTATACCTAGCGGCTAACCTAATCTATTAAAAGAGCAAAGGAAAAAGAATACATGGCTGGCGGGAGCAAAAATTGGTTAAAGAATTGAATAAACGTATAAGACTTATCATGGAAAAAGACTAAAAAAAGTTACAGTATTATAGTATTCGAATACTGATATCCAAATATTTGAATATCCAAATTATTTACAGTAAAACTATTTGAATTCGAATAATTCCCATCACTAATCTATGCATTCATATAATTTCATTTTTTCACAGGCAAAGTCAGGTTATACGGCTAGTATATTTAAATTTTATATGTTATCTACAAATGTATAAGAATGATTAAAAAAACATCAGTTTTTAACAGTGTAGTAACCATTACCCTTAAACTTATGCAAATCTAACCTAACTTGTTTATATTTTGTAATTGTTTATAGAATATACAATTCATGGAGAAAATCAATTTGGTTTCAATCTGACTGATAAATTACAATAATTCACAAGTAACTATTCTTATTAAAAGTGTACTCCAAGGGTGTTAAGAACATGACCAGTTGACATGTGGAAAAACCTGGCTTTGAAGGCAAACTGGTTATGTTCTTAACGTGCACAGAGTATAATTTGAGTACACATTTTAACCAATGATAATAGCTATAATAATCTGTACCTATGTATGATTAATAATGATTTTAATGTTTTAGGTGGATTTAAAATATTTTTAAAGGAATCAGAACATTTGAAAACTAAGATGTTCACTTTATCAAAATTATCATATTTTCAATGTCACGAATTTCAAAAGTATTGGTATAATACCACTCCAAATAATGTAATTAGAATCGAAATCAAACAGTGTTGCGAAACCTTAATGCTCTACATAAAAGGCGAAAAAAATATTGACCGTCGATCGGATACTAAGACATGTTTCATTGCAGCAGATTCTGGTCATTTAGATTGTTTAGAATTAGCTCACAAATTAGGCTTTGCATGGAACAAAGAAGTCTGCTTGGCTGCTGCAAAAAATGGTGATATGGATTGTCTAAAGTTTGCCCATGAGAATGGTTGTCCGTGGGATAGAAGTATATGTTACACTGCAGCAAAACATGGTAATTTGGAATGCTTAAAATATGCTCATGAAAATAAGTGTCCTTGGGACAAATATACATCCAACTGGGCTGCAAATGGTGGCAATTTTGATTGTTTGGTATATGCGTTCATAAATGGTTGCCCTTGGGACGAAAGAACATGCATGTTGGCTGCCCATAATGGACATTTTGACTGCTTAAAATTTGCCCATGAAAATGGTTGTCCATGGGCTGAAGACACATGCAAATGGGCTGCAAGTAGTGGACAGCTGCAGTGTTTAGTGTACGCTTTTAGCAATGGTTGCCCATGGACTGTAGATACATGTACCAAGGCTGCAACAAAAGGCAATCTTGAATGCTTAAAGTATGCTCACACCAACGGGTGTGTTTGGGATAAAAAAACATGTACTATGGCTGCCGCTAATGGGCATTTAGATGTTTTAATGTATGCCCATGAAAATGGGTGCCCTTGGGATGAAAGTACAACATTCCGTGCAGCCGAAAGTGGACATTTAGATTGCTTAGTTTATGCTTTTACTAATGGATGTTCATGCGATGATAAAACGTCTAGTGCAGCTGGTAGAAATGGGCATTTGGATTGTTTAAAGTATCTGCATGAAAATAAATGTTCTTGGGATTCATTTTTAACTTATGGATCTGCAAAAAATGGGCATTTAGATTGTCTTCAATATGCCCATGAAAATGGATGTCCATGGCATTCAGAAACATGTTACATGGCTGCAGTGAATGGGCACTATGAATGCATAAGATATGCTCGAAAAAATGGATGTCCTTGGGATGAAAAAACACGTAGATGGGCTGCCAATCATGGACAATTTGAGGACTGTTTTTAATCCATTCATGAAAATCAGCTGTAAGAATTTAATTTTTTTTTAATAACTAGATATTTTTATTTGATTTTGTAGCTACATGGGTACCATTATGAATAGTATTATATTAGTACTAATTATTTATATAAATATTTACTAAGTCTGGGTATGTTCATCATTATAAACTTATTTTAATTAATACAATAAAAAAAAAGTTCAGTGACATTTTTAAATGATTGCACTATTTAATATTTTTTAAGTTTAAGTCAATGTAATAATATTGAATTCTTGAGTTCAAATTGTTTTTTTATATTTATGTATTTATTTATCTAGATATATTAAAATTTCAATGAATTTTAAATACTATCACAATACTAATTCAATTTTTGGTGCCCAACGCTTTACTTAATAATAATAAAATATGGATTGATGAGTCTTTATTTTAAATACAATAAAATGGTTGATAAATTCTGTTTAAACAAAATCTGACTGTAAAAACTAATGAATATTAGTGATAAGAGTCATACTTTTGATTTTTAATAATCATCTCAATTGTTACTAATAAAGTAATGCACTTCAATTGCAAAACATTGCAATTTTTAAGAAGTTAGTATAATAAATACTAATAATATTAGATGTATTAGTTTGGCTATTAAATTACCTAGTTGGTTTTAGTATGATATGTGTCATATGAAAGAAAAGGAATACATTGTTCAATATTGCTGTGTGTACAACAATAATATTAATTAATACCACAATATGTACTTACCATGTTGTTTCTAATATTTAAAATGAATACACATTTTAAAGACATGTATTGTCTCCGTTTTACCAGAATTATGTTTTAATTTTAAAGAGAGTTTTCAGTATTTAAAAATTGTAAATTGTTTGTACAACTTCAAATACTCATAACTTTCTTTAAAATTAAAATATAATAAAAAGCCCATGAGAAGCCCTCCGTAATAATCTTACCTTTAATTTTAATAAGAGGTCAATTCACTCTAATTTTTAAGCTAACTGAGCTAAACGTGATCTTCTGGGCTTAAAATTTGGTATGTTAAGTACTTGTAAGACGGAGACAACACATGCAGGTATAACGTCCTCTTAATGTTGTAAATATACCTATTTTGTTTACCAATTAAAAAATTAAAAAATTAAAAGTTAATTTGTCTTATCCAAAGTCTAACTTAACGAAGTTATAAAAAAATTATTAGTTAACTTTTAAATTAAATTAACTTAATGATTTAAAAAAAAACTGTTAACTTGCTCAGCCTTGCAATTAGGTACTATTTTAAACCACTTTTGAATGAAAACAAATGTGTAGATGATTTATAGTACATATGATTTTATCAGTAATTTATAATAAAACGGCACGAAATATATGTTAACAATAGGGGGAGGGGCAAGTGGACAACTCCACTTTCCTGGGTTATTTTTTATCACGCACAGATATATATATATATATCTACATCTGTGCATCACGGTTATCTATAGGGAACCGCGCTTTTCATGTAATACAAGGCGGGGTCTACAGCCCTAAAGTGAAATAAAAGTGAAAATTCTAAAAATTTCTTTTTTTTTCAAAATGAGTTGCACTTAAGGGGTATGTAATAACGTATTTCATACATTTTATAAGACTAGCACATTGTACGTGAATATTCATCAGTCAGATGTCAACGAGGGTGTTTAATTTAAAAATGTTATCCGTTTTGACTTTTGATGACAATAAGAGTAGAAATCAGCCCATAATTTAAAATATTAAAGGTTGTACATTCGATTTTTCTAATACTAATGTCTAATTATAACATAATTTATTTGAGCGCACGGCAGTGGGTAGATACTTACGTGGGATTAGATAAGATAGAACCTACCTTATATAATGCATAGAGAAAAATCTAAAAACCGTGACTTTCTCAAACTTTTTTTCAATGCCTCTTTAGTGAGTGCAGTACTAAATGCACGATGTGACATTAAATGGACGAGCACCACGTATATTAAAAACTGATTGTCAAATACTGCATATTATTATAATTAAGCCCAAGAAGACGTCGCCCACTATGCATCTAAGCGAGCGAAAAGGATAAAGTGATAAGCAATATTATTACAGAAGAATATTTTTATAAATAATAACTTTTATCGTATAATATCAGCATATTATACGATTTAATGTTACGGTATTGTATAACGATAATTAGGTATCTACCTACCTACGATTTAGTCAATAATACGTTATTAATAACCAGTAAATAACATTATTTCCCGTTGAACGTCATTTACGGTAGCAAATGCATTTTACTGTGAGGTACCTAATTCTATTATAAAAATGTAGAACTAAAAACTGAAGAAAAACCTATGCTAGGTATTAATATTATAACTGTTGTATTTTAATAATATTATATCACCTATATATTATATACAATATACAATACGGACACGGTACACTCTCAACCGTTAGATCGCGACCAAAAACGGAAAACAAAACACGAGAAAAAAATCACCGTCGCACGGACGTGATGACGTATTGTTCGGGGTAGTAAAAGTGCATGTGTTGCTGGTCAGTGGAACGTATTATCTCCACCGACGTGTCGCCACCACTGTCGCCGCCGAGTCTCGCGAATTCCAAGTCGGACGCCGCCGCCCCGTACCTGTGCTGCGGTCCGATCCTCTTCACTTCGGCGTTGAACCCGTGCTCGTCGTCGGCCGTGTACTCGACCACCCGAGTGGAACCGTCTGCTTCGACCAGACTGTACGTTCCTTTGACCGTGCCGCGGCCGTCGCTCACTTCGTTCTGGCTCTTCACGTCTCCGGTCAGCGGGTCTTCCACCGAGTACGCGAAGTGATACGACGAGCCGGCAACGTCGGCGGCGTTCTGACCGAAGTCTTTGTGTTCGGACGGCTGCTGCAGTTGATTAACGCGATGGCCGAAGTCTTCGTGTTCGGACGGCTGTTGCTGCTGCTGCTGAAGGTGAGTGTCGACTTGGGGGTAGCCAAAGTCGTATCCGGACGGCGCTGCCGATGCGGTCGTCACGACTTCCGACGGGGTCGGCGGCGGCGGAGCGAAAGGAAACGGCACTGCTGACGGCCTGCCCGAAGTCATCCTCGCACAGCACGCGACCGCCAACGCTACGTAGAACAGCTGAAAAGATCAGACAATCACATCGTTCAATCATATTGTTATTAACGAATACGTTATTTATCTTTGTTTTAGGTACGCAGATAAATTAAAAATCGAAAATTCGACGAGAAATGTCGAATAAATTGGTGTGAACGTGTGGTTACCCATGTCTCGAGTCCTATTAGTTTATTATTACCTATTACCTTATTGAGGTACGTATCTTAAATCTACTTGGTTATACTGAATTTTAAAAATCGTATGGTATAGGAACGATTTACCTGGTCAAGTTTTATAAAATCATCAGCTCTACACTTCGCATTATTATTTGCATCCAAAAATTACAAATTTTAGATAAAATACAGGATAAATCAGCACAAGGTAAAACCACATACTTTTTTGAGGTTGTCGTATTCGTGCAAAAACCACTCACTTTGTAACTATAGATAGGTACTTAAAATTGTACACAATATTTTTAATGCAAAATGCCTTCATTATTTATTACTTTTGTAATATTTATTTAAGTAAAAAAAAAATTCAATTACCGCGTTGACTCATCACAATAAATGCACATGAATTCAATATTTTTTTACATGTTAAAATAACAATTTCATCTCATTATAAATATTACAATTTAAAACGCTATTTAGAGCTTCTATTGTTCTACCAAAATTGTTGGTAAGCTTGTTAAACAAAAAAAATTATTATGAGTTGTTGTTTCACAGATCACAGCTGTTCGTTAAAAATAGGAACGTTAATTTAACTATAATAGTTAAAAGATAAACGTAACTCAAATCAAGATGTTAATTATTTATTAAATTGTTTTAATGAACAACTGGGTCACACGTAGACACATTGTATCTTACAGTGATAGAGCAACTTTCAAATGCTTTTGATAATAAGTAATAACTATTTCTATAGAAACTGACTTTGTTAAAAATGCATCGAGATATCCCTACACACAATTTGTACGTAGACTATTGTTTATTATAATGAATATACCTATTGGTTTATGCCATTACACGTTTGCGTCAACTAAATATTTCTTTTTGTTTGTTTTTATTTAAAAATATTGTATATTGCGTAATTTAATCAAACAAAATAAGATAAAAAAGTTCAAAATATTTTGACTCTTTTGAATTATTTATAGGCATTAGAAAAATTTGGGTTTTTATTGGTTTTTTAAAAAAATTATTGTATGTAAATGTTCATAGAAAGATTTTCTTATTTTGTTGTAATTTAATAACTTATAAGTGTAGAGTGTATAGGTTCTTAAAATATTCACCAAATGTATAGCTTATTATTAGGCATAGTAAGGCCCATATATTATTTTTTCAATTAATAGGTAAAAAGCAAAGTTATTACCACAGATAAATTAAGTACTGAAGTTATTAAATTAATTAGAAAATGTACTAATCACCAAACAGTTAATTCTGGCTATGCATTTTGATAATAATATAAGTACCTACACCATGTATGATAGTTATTGCTAGTAACTATAGATACTTCTATAGTTCTATGACTTATGATTTATGAATAATATTACTATACCTAAGCAAATTTAAATTTATCTAATGCATCAAGTTCCAATATTGTGCATAAACGAGTGAAAAGTTAAAGTTAAATTAAGTCTAACTATTAACTTAACTTGTTAAATTTAATTCTATCGACATAAAAGTTAACATACCTTATAAACATAACGAATTATCTTAATTAAATAGTTAATAATAAATATAATAAAATAACTATTTATGATACATAATAGGAAATTAAAAATGTATTTTAAATTTACTTTTTATATAGCCATGAGCCAGAATTGTACGATACAATAATATAATTTATTTTTGGTACCATACAATATCGCAGGCTTTTAGTTTAAATTATCTGTAGGTTATTATTATAAATTTGAGAAAAATGATTGTACTTAAGTTGTGATTGAATTGTTGTTTTTTTTTCTATAACATTGGACTTAACGGAGTTAAAAAAAATTAAAAATCATCAACTTGCCTATAGCCTTGTCAAATGTTCAGCTCTGTTAAAAGGAAGCCGGGTTCCTATCTATATACCGATACAATATTATTATTGTACGTTTATAAGTATACAGTGGATAGGTATCTACTCACCTTAGCAGCCATGGCGATGTCGTTAAAGCGGTTATTCTTCAAGAGTATTATTTTACAATATTATTGTTATTGCGACTTTGCACTGGAACAAAAGTTGTTAATACCACTATATTACAGCACCTATTCAACAGGTATTATTTTTATGGTATAGTATCTTTGATGTACTCTGTGGTCCGGTCAACTTCGACTGCAGTCGCAACAGGTTGGCGTAGTCTGATGGTGGTCGTCAGCTCGATGCGTATTTTATACTGTCGCCGATCCCCATACTCAGACACAATGATAGTGGCCACGTCGCCGTAACCGGAGCAAAGAAAATTTTGCTTTCCGCGGACGAGATGACTCTGGGCACACGCCGTGGCGGCAAACACACGCCACGAGTCGACGGACATGTAATATCATATTATTATTATAATATCGTTAGTTGGTTAAGTACCTATCTATAACGGCGTAACAACAGGTATTATATTACGCCGCGTGTGCACCGTGTGCGCAAAAATTAATTAATTACATCCGCCTCGCCGCCGCGGATATATTATTGTAACAACTAGGTACCCTGCCCCCCTCCCCCCAACCGAATACTTCACAATGTAACTTATAAATGCTTCATTCCAACGGTCGGCAAGAAAGTATACCAAAATATGGGAGGTCGACTTATAATAATACAAATCGTACGGGCATCACACTAGAAGCTGGTTAAACCGGCGTAGGTTGGGAGTGCATCTTGATTGATCTTGATGATTGTACATTTACATAATATTATTTTGTAATTTGTTCATAATAATAGGTATATTATCACTAAGTCTATGATTGGAAAATACATCATGATATGAATTTAATATTGTTAAAAGAAAAGATAACTGTTATCAGAGATAAAAAAAAAGTAACATTATTCGTAACGCACTACTTTATTTATAAAAAAGTAACGTAACGTGATAAAAATAATTTTAAGTAACGCAAATGTAATTTAAATAAAAATATTTGAAGTAACGAGTAACGTAATTCCATTACTTTTTAAGAACAATTTAACCAACACTGTCTACCGGCTACCTATTACGTTTTTACTTACGCACCACTGAAGCACTGACGAAATCAGTGACGGCTTCATATAGTGGTCTGACAAATGAGATATTCATCATATTCGGGCAGATATAGCTGGTAAACCTATTTAGGTGTTATAGGTATCATTCATTTTATTGAATCAGAACCAAATCATGCATACTTCGTGCATATTCAATAAATATGTTATAAAACATTCATGCATGCATGCTTATATAATTTAAATACCTATAGTGAAAATAGATTTTTATTAAATACTAGCTGGCAGTAGCTGCCCTATCTTCTTCCGGAAGAAATTATTTTTTAATAATTTAATTTAAAAACATAAGACTATTTTTTGGCTTTACAAATAATACGATTATAAAATAATAAAAAAAAAGAAACAGACATCGTTATCGGTGAATATATGAAAATAACTAATAATAATAAGATTAGTAATAATAAAATTAGTTAATTATTATTATTATTATAATGAGGGCTCAAAACCGGTTTCCTTCGTCTCCAAAATCAAGTTAGATTCTTATATATATAGAAGATTACACTATGAAAATATTTAATATTTTTGCTACTGATTTATGCACAGGTAGTCCCCATTATTACTGCCAAAAACGAAAAAACTTTGATTCCCGTTTTCACCTAAATGTATTTTTGAAAAAAAAAATGTTTTGGCCCAACATTGTTTGAGACTGAGACAGTCGAGAGCCATATATTGTAATAGCTTACAATGATGTACAAATGTAACGACCACGAGAGTATAGGTACTAACTCAGCCACGTAGGAATAATTGTCTTATAGTTATATAATTGCACATCATTAATATCAGACATTATTATTTTCTTCATAAATAACAATTCGATAAAAAAAAAAAAAAAACATCAGGTATACCTTGATATGTGATGCTAAGCTATTAGATTAAAGTATTCTTTGTTAAAATATAAATTACTATAGTAAGTAAGTAAAATAAGAATATATACTTACCTTTACCGTTTATATCACAGTAAGTACTCATACCTACACACATAGATGTCGAGACATCGAATGCACCTCGTCATTAAGTAAGTCACTATAATGTAAGCACCTATTTACGTGTGAAGTATTGTTTAAGAAGTAAAAGAGTAAAATTTAACATTAATAATAATTTGTTTACAATTTTGTAATTTTTATTGGCGATGCTTTCCACCCTCCTAATCCAGAACCTTGTCTACGCCACCGATAAATTGATGTAGTTTTTATATAATAATAGGGGTATTGAATATATTTTTTAAGTTTATTTGTTTACTTTTTATGATTGACTACAATTCAATTACAATACATTCCAACATAATATTTATTACCAGTTGCTAAGTAAAGTTAATAAACTATTTAATTAATTAATTTCAGCGTTTTATTTAACCAAATTCATATCAACATTTTTATGCAGCATATTTTAATGATGATAAGCACATAATATTAATTTCTAAATCATTTCCACCACAAAGCCGAGTGCCTGTGTTTATAAAATAGGTATACAATACACTATTTTATTTATTTATTTTATTTTATTTAAAATTAGTAAAAATTACTATACTTCACTGAGTTTTAAGCTCGTGTGGAGGCCTAAGAGTTTTATCTTATGTATAATGTTTACATTTGATGCTTATCAATATTTAAATATCGTGATTAATAATTAATTTGCAATGTACATTTCCATTTTCTATTTTCTATTATTAATATTATTTACATAATATATCATACACTTACTTATATCTATCCGATGGGCGGATATGCTCTGTGAAGACACAAATAATGCTCGTGGCGAGTAAACATACCTGCTCTATAATATTATTATGGTTAGCGGAAAACAATCGTTTTTACATCATCAAAACGGCGGGGGACATCATATAGGTACCTACCTAATGATATTATTATATTAACGGTCTGGTCTGTAACGGCCAGATCGTAAGAACCACAGTTATATTATTGTTATAATTAGGTACAGCACTATTATTATGTATAAATTATAGGCACCTACCTATAGGCATAGGTACACACGCAGTTGTTGTTATCGTTCACATTCACCGCCGGACGAAACATCTATAACCGGACGACATGGAACCGTCAGAGCATAAAAATCATAATTTCCGTTATTATATTATCATTATATGTCTTAAAATGATACATATTATTCTCGACAGTTTGCGATCAACACGTTCTATTACGCGTCGCTTCGCGTAATATTATAATTTAATGCACACGGATGGCACGGAAGCATGGAGTTATGTGCATTAATGCACGTAAGTAGGAACCTGCAGCTACTATTGTTAGTCATAGTTCTGATATGTGTGCAAAATATTGTGTAGCTATAGATACCTAACGTTTACCTTACGACCAATTTTAAAATCTGTGCCAAATCGTTGGTTTTCTAAAGTTTCGTTTGGTTAGCAGACTCTATGCGCGTCACGCGTACGACGCCCGATAAATATCTTAATAACATGTAGATTTGTGCATTGTGTATAATCATAATTATATTATAATAATATAATATGAAAGCAGCACGGTGATAGATCTCACGGAATTATTTTCTCTCTGTAGCCAGCCCAGAACCGCGCTTTAGATATCTTAACTTAAACATAATATGGTTTCGGATGTATCTGCGTTAGTTTATCTTTTTGAAATGTTGTTTGTGCATTCGTGATCTTGTAATTGCAGGGCTCCTACGTCCTATATATATATATATATATATATATATTATATATATATGTATATAATACATATAGTATTTTGTATTACATTTTTGTTTTACAAATACTTCAAGTAAAAATATTACTTAGAAGTAACCAAACCTTGTGTAGTACGCAAACGACAATATTATTTGAGACAATTGAATTAAGTGAGGGGTAAGATTTACGGTTTACTGTTCAACCATTGGCGTAAAAATGTCCAGGTTTTCTTTATTTCCTGAATATTTTAAAATGTATTGAACATTTTGTACTTATTATACTCCCTCTCCCACTAAGTACCAACTATATTCAATTTTTTAACAGAATCCACCTTCAACATTGAAAATTGAACCAAAAATGTTTCTCCAAAAGCAAAAAGGTAATGGCAGACAGAAAAAAAACATGTAACAGATATTAATACCTGTGATCATAATGATATTAGGAAAAAGGTGTGGTCGAAGCGTAGAATGAGATTCAAAATTAATTGTTGTGTAATTACTTAATAAACTTACCTGATAGTTGAATGAAACCAAAAAATAATGACAATATTATTGATTATATTAAATATTAAAAACGTCGAGAACCTGAGAATCATGGTAATTTTAAATAATTATACATTTTGAGAATTATGATAAACAATTTATTACGGCAAAATAACAATAAATTTATTATACTTAAAATGTTGGAAATACTAGATTATAATTTATAAGCACAATGAAGTTGTGTTATGTTTATGAAAATACATAAAGTGCTTAATACCTACTTACTAACTTCTTGTAATTTCAACTTTGCAGTCTTATTGTTTTAAAGGTTATACTCTTTTCTTCATAGGTCATGAGTGTTGTGATCAGTATTGCTATGTTTCACAAAATGTATTAATGGACAATAGGAGTTGAAAATCTTGTATTTTTTAAGGAAATTAAAGTAATAATATAATTAATTTTTTTTTACATTTTAGCCTTAAATCAATTAAGTAGAGTAGTAGATAGACTGTTAAAAATATATGCTGATTGGAACATTTAATGATGGTAAAGTATTTCCAATATATTTTAATAAATCTATTATTAGAAGTAATTGGAAGACAATTTTGCAAGGATTGATCTACATCAGTTAATTCAAAGACATCAATGGTGTCTCAAAATTTTGAAAAGCAATTCGCAACAGACAATATTTTGAAAACAAATTCATTGGGATGAATCAAACTACTTTGCGATTTTAGGTTTATCAGTGTAGATTCTGGTTTCTCTGAATAAGATGCTTAGATGTTTTACGTAAAAAAGTAAATCAGTTTAACAAACATTGACATTGTTGTTTCATATTACTTAAGTACTAGAAACTACAATAGTTTATTTTAATAAAATGTATATTGACTGTGGACATAATACCTATTACTGCAGTCCAGCAAACATCACAAGTAATCGTTTTTGTGAAATGCCTTGTATTTATCCACATATGTACTATAACACAATCTTTTGTTTCGGTTTTAAAATAATTGTAAATCAATTCATCAAAAACATTGTATTTTTCTGTCTTTAGAAATTAGAGTAGCTAATAAATTGAATCCAAGAAAAAATGACAGTCAATTATCAAGTTATCAAATTAAAATATCAAAATTATTAAAAGGCTAATAATAATAATTTATCACAAATATTGTACCTATTGTAGGTAGGTACTTTACAACACTATAGGTAGCTGATAAAAATTGATAAACTGATATGTAATATCATGTTAATCAGATCGCTACTTATTAATAATTTATATATTATACCGATTGATTTTTGGCATTAAGCCGAAATATTAATTTTTAATTTTTAAATTGAAAAATTTTTTACAATTTGTATTACACGATTTATTTGGCTACTTTCAATCAGAATTGTTTTCTGCCTTGTTCTAGAGCTAGGTGATGAAGCATTACAAATTAACATATTTCTATCAAACCAAATTACGAACATTGTATTCAATTTTCAAGTTTTTTGACCCATCATAAAATCGAGATCATTTGCATAATTTTCAATATTCGAATAATTAGATTCTACTTCGATTAGGAGTGGTTATAGACAAGCCAGGGCATTGTCTGG